TTTGCCTTTTTTTGGCAAAATAAGGGCTTTGCCCGTTCTTTATGCATTTCTATTGCTTCTTTCCTTAGGCTGGAAGACAATTTTGCCATCAAATTCTTTGGTTTGGCTTTTCAGGAGAGATTTCATCCTGATCAGAGCTGCCTAATGACACTGCATCTTCAAACAGTAAGTTGTTTCTAAGTTTGATGGATTCATTAGCATTGTTTTTCCATCCAAAGATTTCTCATTGTGGCCAAATCACATTCTTTGTCCAAGAATAAAAATTTAGTACCCCATCCTCCATGTCACCTCTACCTGCATTACTTAACAATAGCTTTAAGTTAGAAATTTTCTTCTAAGACCTAGGTCTTTAGACAGAAAATACATGATTTGGTCTTAATTGGGAGCTAGGTCTTCTCCTAGTTAAAACTGGACTAGCTTTGAACCAGAAGCTTTGGAACTACTCATTGCAAGTATCTGTTCATCTGTTGAAAGTAGCAAAGTGTCTATTACTACAGAGACAGGCATTAGAAAATGTCTAAATTACATATGTTTGCTCTAATTTTTGTATACAGTCTTCCTTAAATACAAATATGGCTTACATAATATTTGTATCCATACATAGACATGTATCAGAATTCTCAGGGATTAAGTTATACCAGCCCAGCATTTAGAGAATAAAACACATACCTTTATTATTTGATAACGCTTAAAATTTTCTAATGAAGCAGACAGCACACAAGAACCATGATGCAGATACCAGGTCAAGGGCCTAATGTGGGGTCAATGAATATGGAAAGGGATCTGGACTTCATGTGGTCTGGAAACTCCCAGAATTTGTCTGCAAAAATGCCATGTATATGTATGTATGTAAATGTTTATTTATCTGAATATTTTCATCATGGAACACACAAAAGATGGTAAGGACCAAACCACTGGGTAGACTTTATACTTTCATTGTCACCGATAAACTTTTTAAGGAATAGTTACTGGAGGAAGTATAACAGGAAACTAGAAAGGGGTTACCACCATGAGGATGTACAGAGCTGGTGGTCTTCTGCTGCCCATTTCCCAGGTGGGAATTTAAAAACAAAAAACAAAACAAAACAAAACAAAAAAACAGAAGACTGGCCATAAATGGAGGAAGCAGTACTTGAAAGAAGTAACTTATCAAGTCTGCACATTTTGTGGTTAGGGGCTGCTTGTAGATTTTTCAAGAGTTGGAGATGTTGGGTGTAAGGTTGTATTTTCCCATATCAAAGGAGCAAGGGGACAGAAGCACGAGTGTTCTAGCTTTTTTATTTCAGCAAAGCAAAGATAAAATCAGAAGAACTTTTTTTGCTCTTGTGCCTGGTCCTCTCTTAAGGGTTACTTTCTGGTAGGAGACCCCTAGGGATGTTGAAAGCAAGATCCAGGCAAAAGGGGTGGCTAAGGCTGACTAAGGTTCGCTGACTGCCAGCGTAGGCAGAGAGTCCAGTTACAGCAAGTTCTGTGGGGTGTCTCTTGTGATTGCTTGCAGGCCGATCTGGCTTCTCTTCGTAGGCTCGGGTCTAGTTAGCACTGAGCTCTAAACTTCCTAGCCTGAGCATAGAATTTCGCTGCAGCAGCAGCAGCACCACCCCCACCACCACCGCCGCCACCCAGCATGGGCGAGGGCTCCTTGAGGGTGGATTCTTCTCTAGTTCCACCGCAGCCAGCTCACTGTCATATCCAGCTTTGTGTCAGATCACAGATTTCAGTTCCAGAGTTGCCATCCACTTAGCTTCTGCTAAGAGTGCACCGGCGCGGAACGGAGGGGAGCACATTAATTCGCAGCTTTAGTGGCCGATGGTCAAACAGGAGCTTATTTCTACTCAACTAACTTTTGCTGCGCTCTGGTAGCCCATCTCGATATCCTTTGCCGGTTCATTTCCTCCTTGCGCGTCATGCAGAGCCCGTGTACTCAGAATTTTCTACAAACTTAAGAGGAGGTTCCTCCTAGCGCCTCTGGGGACTGCGGACCCAGCGCAAGGACCGTACTAGGGGCTTATCCTCCACAGCGGTGATCCAGGCATAGCTGACTTTTAGGGTGCTCTGTTGCTGTTTCACATCTATGCACCATGTGCAAACACCTACATTTTATATGTTTTAAAGTGCTAGAGAAATGAGTGAAATGCAGAAGCCAGGTTAATGAAATGTGGTTCTCCGCTGAACTCTGTCAAAAATCTCCTCTGTGTGAGGACTAGATGTGTTCAATACAACTCTCACCCAAAGACTCAGAGGGTAAAATCAAACTTCGCCCAGAAATGACAGAATGTGCTCAGGGTCTGGGCCTTCGCGAAGCAGCCGAAGCATGGCTGGGAGAAAGCCACAGGTCTCCAAACCGCTAAAGCCAAACCCTACCAGGAACAAGTGGTTTTCTCCTTCTCACGCTCCTGGAGCAGAAATGAAAAAAACGAAAGGCTGCATGCAGCTAGTAACGTTCCTCTCGTCCTTATCCCGCCTCTCATCCCTTCAACAGTTCCCTCCCGTCTTTCCCAGCTCCCCTAAAATATCAGAAAAATAGTTTTCTGGCAGCCACCACCCACACCCATATCCACACCCACCCGCAACCACACACACTATTCCTCCATCCTGGCCAAGGCCCCCACCTAGTGGTTTAAGCTGGCTGGCTTTGCTTCCCCTGCCTGTGGTTTCTAAGAGAGCTCTGCAGTTTGAAAAATAATGAAATCTAGCTAGGTAGATGCGGTTGGGAGGGAGTAGGTGGATGGGTTGGGAGGATGCGGAGGACACTTTAAAATGTGGCAAAAATGAGGCTTACCATTGCAGAAGTGCTAGGGGCTAGGATTGGAAGAGAGAAAAGAGAAGGCTGTGCTTTTATCCTCAGGGTGCCTGCTGTAGCCCAGACCACATCTAGAGGATGTCCTTGGAGAGCTGCCTCTTTAGTTAAAGGAATACCCTCACTGTCAATGCATGGATGTGTATTATTTTCTTCATAACACATAACACTATAAACAAATACACAGTATTAATTATTTACTTGTTCATGTAGTTACTGTCTGTCTGCCTTTTCTAGGATATAAACTGCTGGAAAACTGTATCTGGGTCTACCCCATTTGGCCTCCATACCCCTGGTGCCTAGAAAAATACCCACTGTAGAGCAGGCACTTTACTTTTTGCTGGCCTGTCCGCCTGGTTTAGAGAACTAAGAATCAAGGGAACTTGGGTTTGAGCTCGATTACCTTGGGTAAAAATCTATTTTTTCAAAGGATGTGGATTATTTTCCTTCCAAAACTGTGTGGATGGATCAGATAATCTCTGGCTCTGAGACTAAATGATTCTCTTTAAGATACACTTGTGCTTAATCTGATAAATTCAATTACAATGTAGTTTTTATTAGATAATTTCTACTTATTAGTGCCAAACACTGATCTAAGCTCAAGGAATTGGTAGTGGGGTTTACTTAGTCCTTGGGGCTGAAAATACATTGTCCTTTCCTGGTGCTTTATTTTCAAACTTTCTCATTTGTAGTTCTAGCCTACATTTGTTTCTGTTAGGGCTGGAGGATAAACTGAGGATTGGGAATCTGCTCAGGGTCATGGGACCTAAGTATCACTTGCTGGTGCCTGGTGTATTTGTTGAGGGCAAAAGTGACACACTGATTAAGCTGACTCCAGTGTCCATTTTTTCTTGAAGTGTGATGACCTCCTTTCTAGGTAGGCTCTTAGAAGGGACATGCTTACTAGGAACTGTTTTCCAGAGGCACTGGAGTAGGAGGGTGGGGCAGAGGGTTTAATTTCACATACACTTGGCTTCTGTTTGTGTTACTTTTCCATTTTTGCAGACAGCTTTTTCTTTCTTTTTCCCAGTTGACTCACATTTAAAGGGGAGGGATCGAATGAAAACCACAAATTTCTAAAACTAGACGAAAAATTATTTTTTATTGTACCAAAAGTTAAGGATGACTTGAAGCATGAAGCTAGATGTACAAAATGCACATATTGGCCTTTTCCTTCCACTGCGATATTACCGGTGCCTCTTCTAACCTGGGTGTGGCCCTCAGGGCTAGATAAGATTCCAGAGTGGAGAGGTCAGAGATTGGGTCTCGCTCCACCTAGGACTGGCGTCCTGGGCGGGTGGAGGGTGGGGGAGGTGGGAGCCTTATACGTGACGCAGGGACTAAGCCTGTGATCGTGGCTAAGGGCGTGGGTCTCACTTGCGGAACGCGCAGCAAGCCCCGAAGCCCGCAGAGGCAAGAAGAGCACTCCTTCATCTCCATTCCTGGTCAGAACTGCGGCTCCGCTTTGTCAGGGTCTCGAGGGGGGCCGAGGGTGGGAAGTGGGGAGAGAGGGCGGTAGGACCCGGCGGGAGCTTTCTCGGCCAGGAAGGGAACAGGGAGGTAGGAAAGGAGGGAGGGAAAGAGAAAAAGGGAAGGTGATGGGGAGCAGACGTCCGCACTCGCCGCGCCGCACGAGTTGCACGGCTCGGGCAGACTGGACCTGGACTCTATATAAGGAGCCCATCCGCTCCGCAGCTCACACGTTCCTATCGGACTGGCGCATGCCGCGTCCCTCGAACTCCCCCAGACACCTGCCCTTTCCCCATGTGCTGCACCAGGTCGTCCAGACCGGCGCGCCCAGTCGCATGGCTCTGAGAGGTGCTTGTGGGACCAGGGTGGCGGTGGCGGCGGCGCGGCGCGAGCAGCCGCAGCTCCAGCCCCCTCGTCCCCACTCTTGTGGCCTCGTCTCCGCGGGGCAGCTCGCTCTAGTAGCCAGCGCGTGAAAAGAGAGGGAGGGCAAAGCTCGAGCGCGAGGCACGGCGCGGCGCGGCTCCCAGACTTCACCCCACCCAGCTCTGGCTGCAGCAACTGCCTCAGGAAAGTGCCCCAGCTTGGGGCGAGAGGCGGGAATGCAAGACCAGCACTCTTCGCTTTGGGACCGACAGCTAGGAAACTCCCGCGGCCAGAGTCTGCAGATCCAGGAGCGCCCGGGTTAGGAGACGCTCAGCCCCCGAGCAACCGGGGTAAGAGACCCCACTTGGCCGAAGCCTTCTCCTCAAGCAATATTTCACCCTCCTCCACTAGACACCTCCACGGAGCGGGAGGGAGGCTCTGTGGGCCAGTTCTTAGGAACCCAGGACTAAGACGGGGCGTGGAGAGGAGCTACCAGAGACGCGGCCGCGGCGCCAGGCGTGCTGAAGTGCAGGGACGCGCTCGGCTGCTTTGGCTGCCGCACCCTTGACCTCTAGTTTCAGCTGGGAACTTAGGCGGAGGAGTAATTGTGGAACCAAAAGAACTGACTAGCAACGGGGGACAAACCTGTGATCTCCAGGGTCCTTCCGCCCTCTCCCTCGTCCGCTCCATGCCTAAGAGCTGCGCTCCGAAGCCGGGGCGAGGAAAGCCATGGAGGAACCGGGTGTTCAGTGCGCCCCGCCGCCGCCCGCGGGCTCCCTGACCGGGGTTCTTCAAGCCAACTTCTCCTCTGCTCCCTCCCACAACTGCAGCGCCGAGGGCTACATTTACCAGGACTCCATCGCCCTGCCCTGGAAAGTACTGCTGGTTATACTGCTGGCGCTCATCACCTTGGCCACCACGCTCTCCAATGCCTTTGTGATCGCCACAGTGTACCGGACCCGGAAACTGCACACACCGGCTAACTACCTGATCGCCTCCCTGGCGGTCACCGACCTGCTCGTGTCTATACTGGTGATGCCCATCAGCACCATGTACACAGTCACCGGCCGCTGGACGCTGGGCCAGGTGGTCTGTGATTTCTGGCTGTCGTCGGACATCACTTGTTGCACTGCTTCCATTCTGCACCTCTGCGTAATCGCCCTGGACCGCTACTGGGCCATCACGGACGCGGTGGAATACTCCGCTAAAAGGACTCCCAAGAGGGCGGCGGTCATGATCGCGCTGGTGTGGGTCTTCTCCATCTCTATCTCGCTGCCGCCCTTCTTCTGGCGTCAGGCCAAAGCCGAGGAGGAAGTGTCGGACTGCGTGGTGAATACCGACCACATCCTCTACACCGTCTACTCCACGGTGGGCGCTTTCTACTTCCCCACCCTGCTCCTCATCGCCCTCTACGGCCGCATCTATGTGGAAGCCCGCTCCCGGATTTTGAAACAGACGCCCAACAGAACAGGCAAGCGCCTGACCCGAGCCCAGCTGATAACCGACTCCCCCGGGTCCACGTCCTCAGTCGCCTCTGTTAACTCGCGGGCCCCCGACGTGCCCAGCGAATCTGGGTCTCCTGTGTACGTGAACCAAGTCAAGGTGCGAGTCTCCGACGCCCTGCTGGAAAAGAAGAAACTCATGGCCGCTAGGGAGCGCAAAGCCACCAAGACCCTGGGGATCATTTTGGGAGCGTTTATTGTGTGTTGGCTGCCCTTCTTCATTATCTCTCTGGCGATGCCAATCTGCAAGGATGCCTGCTGGTTCCACCTGGCCATTTTTGATTTCTTTACGTGGCTGGGCTATCTCAACTCCCTCATCAACCCCATCATCTATACCATGTCCAATGAGGACTTTAAACAAGCGTTCCATAAACTGATACGCTTTAAGTGCACAAGTTGACTTGCCAATTGCAGTGGGGTTGCCTAAGTGACCTTTGGGGACCAAGTTGGGTCTGGTTCCGCAGGTAGGTCAAATCTTCTTTAGTGATTACTGGGTCAGAGCTAGGCTCTCTCTCCTGGGCAAGGGCAATGCATCCCGAGAAGCCAGGATAGTTTTGAGAGAGCGCTCTGAAAAGGAGAACTGTTCAAACTAAATGTAGAGCTTCCCTGCTGAGGAGGAGGCTCACTTCCTCCCCTCAAACCTTGGGCTCCGCACTGACCCTGCAGCAGCCAATCACAAAGAGGGCTGCAACTTTTTAAAATTGATGCTGGAAAGGGGATTCCTGCCCTGCTTTGGTATCATGGATGATGCCCTCTAGAACCAGTGTACTTGTAGTTGTTGTCTGAAGCCTGTTTGAGACAGATCTACATACAGCCTGGCAGTACTTGAACTAGATGCTTAATATCCTGTGTTTGGGGGAGAACTTTGTGTTACAGCTTAATTTAAGAACAATTACTTTGACATCCTTCAGTCTTCAGTTTTTGTTTATTTAAACTTGGTTGGAGAAACTTTGGATTTGGTGCTTCAAACCCTATATGTGGCTTGGATGACACAGAGAAGCCTTGAAGAGTTAACAGGAAAATTCAGATGCTAAGATTCTATTTTTATTATAATTGCAACTATATGGGTGTGGGGGTGTGGGAATGGGAGACGGGGATCATTAAACTGAGAATCAATAACTATTGATCGTTTTCTGCAGATTTGTAATTTTTAAACTTCTGTTTAGCAATTGTCAAACCACAACTCTAGCAACTCGAACAAAACATTATGTGTACTAGTGCCAAAGTCTGCAGATTGCATTATTTTTTTCTCCTACTTTCATGTATCTTTCATTTAAATTACACATCTAAATCCCCATAAATGGAGGGTGTGATGGGTGACTCAGCCCGAACTGCTGCTATATTTCTTACTAATGCAATGGGTAAAACCAATTAGTATTAGATAGACACTGTTCCTTAACAAGCAAAGTATCTTTATTCCTTATCCAGCTCAGTGAGATGTGAAGGAGACTGATGAAATAGGAACGGTTCTTAGACAATTAAGGAATGGGGGGCAATAGGAGGATGTATATTTTGACTTGTAAAAAAGAAATCTTAAAATGCATGAGAATTTTTTCTGGTAGTCATTTGCACTCTCCTTCTCATCTGTGATTCCTTTGTGTGCCAACATATAAAGTAACGAAGAGAACTGCTCCCTTCTCCAGAAATCTTCAAAATGTATTAAGGGCCCTAAAAACCACATTAAAGAAAAACTACACTTATTTCTTTTCCCTTGCTATTGAAGTTTGGGCAGGAACAAATGACTAGAAAATGACAAGCAAGAACTTTAGAAAAGCTTAGAGAAACTAAAATTGAGTCTGTTTTCTTTGTAATTCGTAAAACCAACCTCAGACTTAAACAGTTTATTAGGAAACAGGCAAAACTTTGAACCTTGTAAATTTGTCACTGACCTGACATCTCAATGAATATAATATCTAGAATACTTTAAATTTATCTGTCTTTTCAAATGTCAACAATACTAGTTGATATCTCAAATTCACTCTGTGAATACTGGATAAAATCATACACTAAAATATTAAAAAAATTATCTTAATCAAAAGAACTACTCCTAAAGGATTATTAGCACAGAAAAAAAAATATATATGGGCAGCATTTAATATGCCAAAGAAGATTCACATTCCTTTCTTCAAAGGGTTTTCTGCAGTTGATGCCTTTTGTCTGCAGAAGCAAGTTATCTTTGTAAAATGGATTCACTCCCTGCTTGAAACTCCCCAGTCCAGATTGTCATACAATAGATGTATTGAGCTGAAGTACACTGCATACCTACTGTGCAGACCTTTGCTCTGGGGTAATGACTCTTGAAAATACACTATTGAAAGGTTCTTATGTAAGATACATGAAAAAGGGAATTTTGATCAACATTTACACCTCTCACTGGAGTGAGATAAAATTTTAGGCATTAGATAAGCCTATACTTGCGCTGGATCCCCAAATTTCTTTTTTCGCTTTTTGTGGTGTTTCTCCTATGGAGGAATGTGCATAGAGCACGGTATTTGTTTTTTTGTTATTAATATGTTGTTTTTCTATTTATACAACTGTGTTTTCTTTGGGCCTAAGAGGCAATTAAGTCAACTTCTAAAAGCCTTAGGGGGAAAAATTAATTGAAACAAATAGCCACTTACAAATGATTTCTTTACAGGGCACCTACAATGATTGTGTCCTCATATTAATAAAACACAATCGATGTAGTCAAATGGGTTGTTTGCTGTTTTGTAGATTACCCACCTAAACTATTGCTTGACTATTTGGCTGTATTAACTGGATTTGGGGCATATTGTGTGAAGTAGAAGCTTGTAAAACCCTTGTAGTTATAAGAGATCTAGAATCATCATCTAGCATTGCACATGATTATGCAAAATGTATAATTCATCCCAGGGGTATGTACTTAAGACTGTTAAGCTCCTTTTCAGTTACTGCTGCCTATAGCATAGTTTATTTCATAAACTAGACACATGGCTTTTTTGCAGAACATAAAATAGGAGATGGAAATGTTTAACTTACATAGAAATGAAAATATATTTTCATTGGCTGTGCTAATAAATAACATTTTCCATATTGTTTAATTGCACAAATTTTCACAAAAATATATGAATGTATACTCATTCAATAATACTAATATTGTCTTGTGTTTCTAGGACTTGTAGAGTTTCCTTTTTAAAAATGGACACTGCACTCATGAATGTTTCTTGAGTTCAACAAATTTTCTACGGAATGATATCCTTCACTTTTCCTCTCTATGATCTTAGTTTTGTCTTTTTAAACCAGGAAACCCTGAGAGGACTATAATTCACTCAAGCAGTAAAATCTCAGATTATGTGTATTTGATGAAGTTGCTGTGACTGAAAATTGCCTTTGGTATCCCACCTTTCAGCAAATGTATAATTTGGAAATGAAATTTAAGAAAATAATGAAATAAAAGTCCATTTGTGTTCTAAAAAGCATCGGCAGTAGTTCTGTTATTATGGAAAGACTGGTTCATTGGATTCTGGGGTTGTGCTTAGGAATTTGAGCCTTCATGAGAGAGTGACTGATGGTAAATGATACATGGCAGACTGAGGTGTACTGCCATGATTTGGGGACTCAGTTTATATCTGTAGAGAAAATTTAAAATGAGTGAAATGGATTGTGTTCTCCCATTCTGCAAAGAGAGTAAGTCAGATTCACTATCACAAGAGTTTTCCAAATCAGCATTTTTAGAGGCAGCATTTAGTTTGTAGTCTAGGTAGTATGATTCTAAGGTACTGCATGATGCTTAAAACACAAAAGGAGAAACTGGGTTAGAAGCGGGCTTGGGGAAAACCTGAGAGTAGAATGACTTATCTGAAGACCAGTGAGGTAGGCAGATTTTGGAGTCAGAAAGTTCTAGGTTTGAATCACAAATAAAGCCTTTTAGAGCTGTGTAGTTCTCGAATACCCTCTACTTACAAGTTGCTGCAAAGGCTTAGCACCTATACATTTTAAGCACTTATCAAGATGCCTGACACTTTTTTGGCTCTGAGTAGATGGTACTTCCTCTTAGCCATTATTTTCCATTGCCTCTTTTGTGGATGCAGGATATCTGTAGCATAGAAAAACAGGACTACTTGGGAGAATTTGCACTGGCGAAGACCAAACTAGCCTGAATGACAGAAACTTGGCTAAACTAGAAGTAAACTAGAAGTGAGGTCTGCAGCCTTTTACAATTAACCCTCTAGGCTGGTGACACACAGCCCAAAGGACAAAAGAGAGCATAAGGGATGGTTTGCAGTGGCTCTACTGGTCAAGAAGTTGCTAAATATTTAGTTTCCTATAGCATTCTCTAATTCACTTTTAAACCCTTCCACCTCCTCTTCCTTGTCTAGAGATTTCCAGCTGTCTTGCCAGAGTCTAGTGTCCCTGGCCCTATCCACATCTCTTCTCAGCACCTCATTTTGCACTTCTCTGCTTTCTTCTTACCCGTATGAAAGCCATGATAACCAATGATGATGTTTATGGTTCTCATTTTAGCTATGAAGGCTCATTGTGTAGCTGAATGTCCTTACATTATATAAGGGGAAATTGTTGACACAAATGAATTTGTAATTGGTGGGGACAAAAGCTTTCAATTGAGGCACCTAATAGAGTTTTCAGAAGAGAAGAGGTTAGCAGGGGAAGGATGTCGGAAGTGAAGTTTCTGCACCTCTCATCAAAACCCATCCTGGAACAGTCCACCAGGGGGCAGAGTGCCCCTGATTTGTTTAGCACATGCAGGCGCTCACCATTTAGGATCTCTAAATCCCTCTTCCTGTACGTTTTGCAAGTAATGTTAACTCTTGTAGGCTCAGTTAAAACAAAAATCCATGAGCCAAGGAAGAGGGGGTTTATCATTGATTTAAAATAGCAGATTTTTCAGGACTTGCAAATTCAGGCAGAGGATCCCTAAAGCAAACCTAAAGTTTTTCTTTCTATATGCAAACTCAGTTATTTTCTTATTCAGCTCTTGTCCTGGAATAATGCTAAAATCTTAATATTTTAAAACATTGTAATCAGCCGGGAGCGGTGGCTCACGCCTGTAATCCTAGCACTCTGGGAGGCCGAGCCGGGTGGATCCCTCAAGGTCACGAGTTCGAGACCAGCCTGAGCAAGAGCGAGACCTCGTCTCTACTAAAAAATAGAAAGAAATGATCTGGACAACTAAAAAAATATATATATATAAAAAAAAAATTAGCTGGGCATGGTGGCACATGCCTGTAGTCCCAGCTACTCGGGAGGCTGAGGCAGAAGGATTGCTCGAGCCCAGGAGTCTGAAGTTGCTGTGAGCAGGCTGACACCAAGGCACTCACTCTAGCCCAGACAACAAAACGAGACTCTGTCTCAAAAACAAAACAAAACAAAACAAAACAAAACAAAACAAAAAAAACACATTGTGATCCTTTATTAATGTGGCACTGAGTGAAATGAGAGGTTAGAAGACAAAGCATTTATTTCAAAATAAAAGGAACTAATTATTTACTGAAGCATTTTTCACCATGAGTTTTCTCATCATCATGTTTTTCTTTTCAAAAATTTTTTATTGGTTTGAGGTTGATATATCCACAGTTCAAAGGTAGAACACCTGCCATTCACCACTGAAAGAGGTGACTGCTTTTTTTGTACAGAAATAAGGTATACTTATATGTCAGTTTTCCCCAGAAGGCAGACCTTCAAGTCTGTGTAATTTTGACAGTTATTTTTTTAAAATAGGCATATAGAAATGTGAGTAGAATCTTATGTATCAAAAAAATACATTTCTCTATCAGAAAATGGATCACATAAAATGAGAAAACAAATTAGGTTATATAATTGCCATTCTTCCATAGCGTAACTGTTACCCTCTAGCATTTTCATTGTCCCCAATGAGTAGTTTTTCTCTGT